GAAGGAGAAGAGAAAATCGAGGATAAAATGGGAAAGGTCAAAAAAGAAGAAGGAGAGAGAAATCGAGGATAAAATGGGAAACAAGTCGAGGATAAAGGTCAAAAAGAAGAAGAAGGAGAAGAGAAATCGAGGATAAAATGGGAAAAGGTAAAAAAGAAGAAGAAGGAGAAGAAAGAAAAAATAGTGGAAGTGGAAATGCAAAGAAGGTGGGGATACGAGAAATAAGAAGGACTGCAAGGGAGAGAGAGAGAGAGAGAGAGAGAGAAGAGAGAGAGAGAGAAGAAGAGAGAGAGAGAAGAGAGAGAGAGAGAGAGAGAGAGAGAGAGAGAGAGAGAGACGAAAGAAATGAGGTATTTATAATCATTGCATAATATAAACACACGCACACACACCGCAGGTGAAAATCCTGCGTTCCTCGGAGATAAAGAGACATTTTTGAAACATCTTATCCATTTTCCTCGGCGACGAAAGCAGCAAGGGGGGGGGGGGGGCAGGAGAAGGAGGGGGGTAGAAGGGGAGGGTAGAAGGGGAGGGGGGGTTTAGAAGGGGGAGGGGGGTTAGAAGGGGGAGGGGGTAGAAGGGGGAGGGTAGAACAGGGGAGGGGTAGAAGGGGAGGGGATAAAAAGGGGGGGGGTAAGAAGGGGAGGGTAGAAGGGGGAGGGGGGTAAAAAGGGGAGGGGGGTAGGAAGGGGAAGGGGTTAGGAAGGGGGAGGGGGTAGAAGGGGGAGGGGTAGGAAGGGGCGAGGGGTAGAAGGGGGGGGGGTAGGAAGGGGAGGGGTAGAAGGGGAAGGGGGTTGAGGGGGGGGTAGAAGGGGGAGGGGGTAGAAGGCGGGGTAGGAGGGGGCGGTAGAAGGGAGAAGGGGGAGAGGGGGTAGAAGGGCGATCGAGGGGTCATGAAGGGTAGGGGAAGGGGTAGGAGGAGGGGAAAGGGGGAGGGAGGGAGGAGGAGGAGGATGGGAAAGGAAGGAGGAGGAGGAGCGAGGAGGAAAGGGGGGGAAGGAAGAGGGAGGAGGAGGAGGGGAAGGGGAGGGCAGGAGGGAGAACCGGTAGTGGAGGACGAGGGGTTAGGAAGGAGTGGAAGGAGGGGAGGGGAGAAGAAAGGATGAGAAGGAGAGGAGGGGAAGGAAGGGCGCGCGATGTGTGGGAAGGGAAGGAAGGGAGAAGGGAGGGTGAGGGTCGCCTTAAGGAGAAGAATAAGGAGAAGGAAAGATGGGAAAGTGCGGGAGAAGAAGAGAGAGGGAGGAACGAACTCGCACCAGGGGGGGGAGTAGGAAGGGAGAGGGAAGGACTTGCGGAGGGAAAGGAGGGAGGGAAGACAACACGTGTCAGGAAAGGGAGGAGGGAAGGAGGGAAGGAGGGGGAAAGAGAAGAGTCAGCTCCTAGAGAGGGGAGAGAAGAGAAGCAAAGATGAGGGGAGAAGAGAAGGAAGAGAGAAAGAAAAAAAAAGCGAAAAGAGAAAGGGAAGAGGAAGAAGAGAGGCAAACATAACTAAGAGGAGTGGAGGAGGGGAAGCCCAAGCGTGAGTCTAAAGGGTACACAAGACACACGAGAAACCCGCTGACGAATATTAAAGAGAAAACGCAGTGTGACATCTCCATTATGGCCAGAGGGTGATGGCAAAAGGGTGTTCCTGGACGTCGGGATAAAACATCGTTAAAAGGCAGATTAAGCGAGAGGCAAGAATGCAGTTGGGAGTCCTTAGGAAAAGCATAAGTGAGGTTCGAGTTGTTGAGATGAAAGTGTTATATTTTATTTGATTCTAATGTCTATTGGCTCTTTAATTTTGCTTTTTATTGCTTGTTTTTGTTTCTTTTTTGTTTTTCTGTCAGGGCCTTCGTGCCTCCTATTTTTTTCGTCTTTATTTAATTTTACTTTTTATTGCTTACTCTTTATTTCCTTTTTGTTCTTCTGTCAGGGCCTTCGTGCCTCCTATTTTTTTCGTCTTTATTTATTGCTTTGTTAGTTTGTTCTTCATTCTCACTTTCTGTTTAACTTGTTGATATATATATATATTTTTATCTAGCAGGCACACACACGCACACGCACACATGCTTGCACGCACGAACACACACACACACACACACACACACACACACACACACAAATATACATATATAAATTTGGCTACATCTACAAAACATTTATACACAAAGGACATTATATGAATTTCGTGAATTTACGATCCTTGGAACTGACAACCTTTTGATATATCTAAAGCCCGAGGAGGTCGCAGAAAAATAAAAATAAATCCTGAATGGGTCACAGAAAACGGGAAAGCCTGAATGGACCGAAGAAAACGCGAAGCTCTTAAGCAACCATTACCTTCTCTATTGCTGTTTCAGGATCTTTTATGTCAAGGAAATACACTTCTTTTTACGGGGTTCCTTTATAGGTTGCAGGTGCCTGTGTATGTATGTTTGTACAGGGAAATATATTGGGGTTTTCTTTGTAGGCTAGGTGCATGTGGGTTTGTACTTCTTTTTTTTACGGGGTTTCTTTGTAGGTTGCAGGTGCCTGTGTATGTATGTTTGTACAGGGAAATATACTTCTTTTTACGGGGTTCCTTTGTAGTTGCAGGTGCCTGTGTATGTATGTTTGTACAGGGAAATATACTTCCATTTTACGGGGTTTCTTTGTAGGTTGCAGGTGCATGTGTATGTATGTTGTACAGGGAAATATACTTCAATTTACGGGGTTCCTTTGTAGGTTGCAGGTGCATGTGTAATGTATGTTTGTACAGGGAAATATACTTCTTTTTACGGGGGTTCCTTTGTAGGTGCCAGGCTGCCTGTGTTGGTATGTTTGTACAGGGAAATAATACCTTCTTTTTAACGGGGTTCCTTTCCTAGGTTCTGCGGTGCATGTGTATACATATGTAACTGGTTGTACAGGGAATATAACTTCTTTTTTAACGCCGGGTTCCTTTATAGGACTTGCAGGTGCATCGTGGTATGTATGTTTGTACAGGAAATATACTTCATTTTTAACAGGGTTCCTTTATAGGTTGCCAGGTTGCATTGGTAATGTATTTGTAAGGGAATATACTTCTTTTTTTACGGGGTTCCTTTATAGGTTGCAGGTGCATGTGTATGTTGTTTGTACAGGGAAATATACTTCCTTTTTACGGGGTTTCTTTAATAGGGTTGCAAGGTGCATGTGTATGTGGTCTTTGTACAGCGAAATATACTTCCTTTTTACGGGGTTTTTCTTTATAGGTTGCAGGTGCATTGTATATGTATGTTTGTACAAGGGAAATATACTTCTTTTACGAGGGTTCCTCCTTGTTAAGGTGCAGGTGCCTGTGTATGCTTGTTTGCACAGGGAAATATACTTCTTTTACGGGT